TAAATAGTAAATTTATGATGGATCAACTTTTAGCCTTAGAAATATAAAATAAAGTTGTAGTATATGTTAAACCGAGAACATACAAAAAAAGAACGCCCAAATCTGACTTCGTATGAGGAAGTTATGATTTTTCTAAGATTCGGCTTAGCTATGCGTGGCCCGAAACTCGAATTTTAGTTCGAGCGGTTTTTGGCTTACGCAACCTAAATGAGAGTTGAATATCTCATTAATAGGAACTCAACGGTAAAAAGATAGACGAAAACGGAGTCCGTATGAAGGAGTTACGAATTCTTCTCGGTCATTTAATAGTCTAAAAGCCTCCTACTATTAAATTTGAGATCGGTCGAGAATTAGTCGAAGGAGTCTAAATGAAAATTGTAGATCTTGATTTTACCTACGCGTTGAAAAAAAGAACGTCGAAAACGGAGCTCGTATGCGAGAGTTACGATTTTTATAAGTTTGAAGGCCGATACGCGATAGGGGGTGACGTGGCACCACCAGAAGGCTGCCACATGCCCCAACTCGGCGAGTAGGTCCTCCTACTCGGCGAGTCCATCAGGAATTCAGCCTATAAATAGAGGTGTCGAGTTCCTCCATTTCCCACACCTTTCCCCACTTCTTTCTCTCTCTAAACTCTCTCTCTAAGCCTCCTTAACCCTCCAAAGCCTAGGGTAACTCCCTAGCACAAGGCGGAAGCCCCGGAGCGCCTGATGGCTCCTAGAAAATAGCATTTCGGCTCAGGAACGCTGCTCCAATGAATCCCGGTTTTGCGAAAAACCCGCTGTAAGTGAGCTACGCCTACGCTATTTTTAATATAACTTCTAATTAATTATAGTAACATTATTAGGACCTTAAAATAATTAGTTGGGATATTATTATGAGCTATATTGAGTGTTATTATAATAATAATAATATCTAGACTATTAATTAGTTGCGGTTAACGTCAGACTAAACCCTAGTCATATTGATACTAGGTTTTGTCGAGGAAAATTGTGTTAAGAGTAACGAAGTGTTGTCCAAGCGCCGAGTCACCATCTTCTCTGGTGAGTGCATGGTCCCTTTCATCTTACACATAGATATGAAGTATTTTAATATAACTTACGTGCTATGTGTGCATATTGTCTGAATACTTGTTGTCTATGCTGATGAAAGATTTTTATACATGTTTTAAATGATGTAAGTTGTATAAAGTATTTTATATCTACAAAATATGTTGGGTGAAACATGGGTAGATGAATGATGAGGGATAAAAGCTGAAATAGAGGAACATTAGTAGTACGGACCTAGTTCCCTATAGGTATACAATGGCAGCAGTGGACCTATTACCTTATAGATGAGCACTGGTAGTTGCACCACAACCCGTAGATGATTTAGATCCACGGTAAACATCCTAGCAGCTGCGCTCTAAGGACAGTATCGACAGTTGTGCCTAATAGGGAGTCTTATGACCATGACAGTAGCGTTTAAAGGTCAATACCAGCAGAAGCGCCTCATAGAAAATGTCCCAACTCTGGCAGTTGCGCCTAAGTGACAATATTAGCAGTTGCGCTTGACCAATGTGTCATTGGCAACAATGGACTTCATGTTGTTTCCTTAGGATGATCCTTAGGAATGAATGAATGAGAAATAGCTAATTCTTAGGGTAGATCCTTAAGAATAAAGAAGATAATGGCGATGGGTAATTAGGTTGATTGTTTGATTGTTTAAACATAATAATTATATTATTGTGGGTTAAAAACCCTATGTACTCACCAGGTTTCCCAACCTAACCCACTCAGTTTATTTATATCGCAGGTGTTGATATGAAGTCACATTACACTGAGAGATTTAAAAGAGATGTAGATCACTAGAGTAAATGAATGTAAGTTATGTTTATGCTTATGTTTCTGTATTGACGATGACATCCCAATTGTTTCAAAAGTGAATAAAAATATATGTTGTTAGAAATGCTTTGATAACGCGATTATCATGTTTTTCTGGGAACAATTTCCGCAACATTTTTAGTAAAAGAGATACTCTGATTTTTATAAAGCATAAACAAAATCGGTCTTTTCTGGCCGTAAAAATGGGGATGTCACATGGAGACCACTCCAGAAGCTTTAAGTTGCCATTCTTAGCAGATCTAAGGTTGTAGATTTATAAAAATGCTTGCTTGATGCTTAGATAAGGTCCATGCATGTTCTTGATTAGGTTTTAATGGATTAAAATGGTTATTGGGTCCCTTTGGGTCATGAAAATGCATAAAGGTGCCGATTTTATGCATTAAGAGTTTTAGTTGGAGGTTCCCTGATGTTTATACATAAAGTGCTTAATCGATTAAGTCATAAATTGAGTTTGGAGGATCTGCGGTTACGCCCCGCATAACTAGAGGTACGCCCAGCATTCCTTGAGTACACTCCACGTTCGAGGTTCTGTGGGCCTTTGGGCTTGTTTCATATTTGGGTTTTGGTTTTGGGTTGAATTTTTGTGTGGGGTTTTTGGTCAGAATAATTTAAGAGTTTTGGGACATTTGGATATGTCTAGTTGGGCCATGATTTTGTATTGGGCCTTGGTGGGCCCAATGGTTTTGGACTTTAGTGGGTGCAATGGGCTTGGACCATTGGGATATCAGCGGATTATTATTGGACCAGGAATCGTTGGGATTTGGGTAAGGCCCATATGGGGTTGGGCCCAATTTGGAAAATTGGGCTATTAGTGGGCTTTTGTGGATCTTGCGGTCTTGGGCTTGATTGGTTTTGGGGTTTGGCCATTGGTTGTGAGTCTTATTGGACCGAGGGAAAATGCTCAATTTACCTCAAGTTTGGATTATGGATCATGGTTTAGAACTCAATTGCTAATTAGGTGATATTTTGGTATTGATTGCTTGGGAAGTCGTCAGAGCAGTAGCTTAGGATTTCTTTCAGTGAGCTTTTGCATTCATGGTGAGTCTCCCTTCGTAGAATTTGTGGGTCGAAGGCACCAAGGTCGGCCCACTAGTATTGTTATAGCTTAATGATTGTCTTTCTGATAATTATTAAGGTGATATATATTGTTTGATGTTTATGTGAGATATGCATGATTTCGTATGGTAGTGGTAGGGGTGGGATAGACCTCGTAATCGGTTGGAATAAGACCAAAGGGTAGGTTGGTCACCCAGATATGCCTGATAAGGGTAGGTCAGCCACCCAGATATGCCTGGCAAGGGTAGGTCGGGTACCCAGATATGCCAAACAAGGGTATGTCGGGCACCAAGATATCCCTGACAGTATGTTTGCGTTATTTGTGGTATTTGGGGAACTCACTAAGCTTTGTGCTTACAGTTTGTGGTTTTGATTTCAGGTACTTCCAGTTCGGAAGTGAAGGGCCTGACTTGATCGTAACGTATACACTCATGTTTTCCGCAATATGTGATTTTGGGATTCAACTCTGATAATTGTGTTAATTAGAAATGTTTTTAAATTTTGGATCAAGTTACATCTATGTTTTGATAATAATATAAATGAAATTTTTATCCTTGATTTTTGAGATGTTACAAGTTGGTATCAAAGCCTTGGTTTGAGGGATCCAGTCATACTCTCGGGTGTGCCCGAACCTAAACTGAGGGTTTGTGAATTTTTTTATAAAATAACATTTAATTAAAAAGGGATTTTTAAGCAAGAAATGGGTGGTGATGTGTGCAGTCGGCTGAGCTCAAGTAAGTGGTTTCCAGAATACTAATACATGTTTATTATGATATATGTTATGATTATGAGAATTGCATGCTAGATTAGGGCTAATGATATGCTCAGTATTATGTGATAGGAGAGGTGCCTTTTATGCCTGATTGTCATGTAGTATTACTAATTTGTTCATGGTGATGAACATAACATGGATATGTGAGTAATACTCATGAGTTCTTAAAAGGAGATTAAGTATTGAAGTAACCTACACTTAAATATTATTTCATGTAAATTGTCACAAACAATTCTAAGATGCATGAGACTTTAGTTCTGTAGGATTTTATGCATTGTTTTCTCCAATGTTTTTTGTAATTAGCAGCTATACATGGAATGTCCAGATATGACATGATGAGTGTGCAAAGTCTATATAGTTGAAGTTTATTTTTTTCATTCTTCCCTAACAACAGAAGCAATATTTATGGGCCCCTTGATGATTTGGTAATAACATCAAATGCATGGCCAAGATCTAACTGAGTTGATTAGATCAATTGTACAGTCTAATGTGGTCATCACAAATCTCTATCGAAAAAACATAACCTTGAACATTGAGATTGAATTGCTTCCATGCCTCATGTTCATCTAGATATCATGTAAAACAAAGGAATATTTGATCACTAATCTAAGGGTTGTTTCATAGCTACTTCATATAAGTACAACAATTGTATTGGATAGCAGACTCTCTATCTATATTAGAGTGTTGGAAATGGTGTCCACACTCACAACAGTTTGGTAATATGATTATTAATAGTAAAGTCATTTTGGGTTACACGCAATGACATATTTAAGCAATAATTAACAAGAGACAATAAATATGATCTGGTTTGATAACTAGGGTTCTAATATGAAGAAGATGAAAACAATGTGGATGAAATTTGAGTGACATTGATCAATTGAAATTCATATAGGGGTGTTTCGTAATGGCGTTGATAGAATATGAGAGATGAAAGGTGAAAAATACATACTTACCCTCATGTGAAGGCATGTGTTTAACAGAACAGATGGTTTTTAACGGGAGTTATAGGCATGGATCAAATCCATAATTAAACCTATATCGTTTGTCTTTAAATTTTATAATTTATATCAATAACAAAAGTATATACATCTCATGTTCAAACCTCGAGGGTTTCAATGTTCGAAACAGTTTCTAAAAGACTTGTTTAGTATTATTGCCTAAAACAACTAAACAAGCATTCTCCCTTAAACTTCGTAAATATCGGAGAGTCGCAATAGAAGAACATTTAGAAAAATATTACTTTACAATAAAAATATAATGACATTGGCTACTTACGAAAGCAAAGAAAGGAACATTTGAATATTAATATTACAAAGAAGATTCAAATCTTTCAAAAGACTCCTGCCGATCAAAGGTCAATAATGGTAGTTAAACATTAACGGGTATGGTGGTTTCTGGTCTCCCGTTCTTATCTCAAACATATTACTGTTATCAAACTGTTTTTCACGCAGACGTCAACTTTGAATAAATTTTACATTTATAGAAACGTTAAATTTATCAGACTCACCTCTCGAATTAAATGCCACCATGAAACTGGTGAAATTTTTTAATCGTTTTCACCTTTTTTCGCGGGAAACCTTTCAAGTCCGCCGACGCTTTCTTCAATTCTGTCCCCCCCATACGCCTCTCGTTTTCAAGCTCTTTGTATTTTAATCAGAAACCCCATTTGAATTGACCAATTTTTAGTTAAATTAATATATAGAAATAGAAACGTAATCGAGATAAATCGGATTTTAAATAATTTCTTTGATAGTTGGAGTAGGTGGGTTCGATTCGTTTTGGGGCAACTTCATCAAATTTCGATTAAAGATGGAGTTGCATCACAAATCGTTCATTGTTTTAGGTAATTAGTTTACTATTTCTTTTTATTTTTTGTTTTTTTCTTTTTGTTTGTTTCCCCCAATTCCACATTCTTTAATTTAATTTCTCCTTTTGTGGGTAGGTTTTTTCTTTGATTTTTAAATTTTTTACAGGTGGGGCTTCCTTGAGAATATTATATCTCTTGGAATTTAGCGAAAAACCCACGGATTTTGAGATCTTTATAGTTCGAATTTCGCAGATAAGAGGTTCCATTCTAGTGGGAGACTGCATTTTTTCTTCTTTTTCTTCTTGTTTTTAGTACATGGCTCTGCAAATTTAGTATCAAATTAGAAAATGTTTGAGGAAGAATTTGCAGGGTGTTGATTGAGAAAAAAAAAAAAAAAAAGGAAAATTGATCATCATAAAAAATGACATTTGAGGCTGTAGATCATAATCATAATCATCAAGGTGTTGAAACGAAGAATGTTTTGGTGGGAATTCGATTTGATGAATGTGGTAGAGAGCTTCTTGATTGGGCTATGGTGAAAGTTGCAGATGCAGGTGATCGTGTAATCGCCATTAACGTTTGTCATAATTCAGGTAACTTTTTTCTTTTTCCTTTTTTTTTTTCATTTTCTTGAATATGATATGGTTCTTGTTAAAGGATTTATTTATTTTTAATATTTAAATTACTTCAATGTTTTACAGACTCTGTATCAAAGTACAAGAGTTTGTTGGATGATTATTTGGCCGATTATGAAGGCCTTTGTGACCAAAAACAGGTATTGTTTTTCAATATGCTAAACTTTTTACAACGGTCTGGTGCAGTGCACCAAGGCCGCCATCATGTGCATCAAAGCAGCAGCATCTGGTTTCTACCAGATGTTGATATCTGATGCACAGGAAGATTAGAATTTTGAATTTTGAACATGTTTTTTTTTTCAGGTTGACCTTACAGGTCAAGTAGTGAGAGGGAATTCAATACGGAAAGTTTTGGTTAAAGAAGCGAAGTTTTATTCTGCAGCCGCTGTTATTGTTGGGGTTAGCAAGATCAGGGCTTTCGGGTAAGTAGATATTTTTAAACAAAATTATACCATGTTCCAAAAAAATGACTATTTCCGTGTGAAATTTTAAACGAAAATACTTACTTTTAAAAGTATCACCATATGGTATGCTTTGGAGATTGTGCGTGTTCAAAAAAAAGTTGTTCTTTTTTTTTCTATTGTTATAAAAGGACTTCATACTTTTGAAATTTGTGTAAAAAGTCCTGGTTACTAAAATCTTATTTCTCTTTTTTTTTTTACATTAAATAAAAATATACTTATATATATAGTTTACGAGATTAAATCATGTTTACTCATAAATGTAGCAAGTAAAAAAGAAATTTCATTTAGGGCTTTCTTAATGTGGTTTTTGTTTGTGAAGGTGTTGGCTTTCAATTGCTAAATATTGTGCAAAGAAACTACCTTTAGCAACTGAAGTTTTGGCTCTCCATAATGGGAAAGTTGTTTTCAAGAGGTTTTCCAATGGCCAACTTTCAGGTATTTTTATTGGGTACATCCCTTACATAACTTAAAATCAAGTCATGTTAGGCCATACGCATGCCATGATTAGGTTCATGTTACAATCTCATGATCCTAATTTATGTAATTTTAAAGAACATTTTTTTGTTTATGATCTTATACTCAAATTTTTTAACATTTTTACCCATCACAAAAAATGGTATCAAATCAAGAATTTCCAAAAAAAAAAAAAAGGCAAATAGATAATGATAGAGAAATCTATATGGTTCATTCACTTCATGACAAAAAAAATAGGGGTAAAAGCAAGAAACAACAACTTATTTTTATTTATTTGTTTATTATAACATCTTCCTTTTATTTTGTGTGATGACAACATCAACCAAATAAGCTAATACGAAGCAATTTAGTTGCTATAATTGCTATTTTTCAAATTTTAATGCTCTAAAGTGCTTTAATTTGGTAGATTTTTCCATTCTATCTTTTTTCCTCCATCGAACATTTACATAACCTTTACTGAGACGCATCTTTAATGACCATACTCATGTTACTATCATGTGATATGTTAGGATTATTATATCAATCTTTATCGTATCTCAAGACTATAACACATCAAACATTAAATACCAAATCTCAATATCTACCTCCTTTTAATTATATATTAATTATTTTTTAAAAAGGGTCAATGCGAGATCCGAGGCCAAGTTTCTACTTAATCGGCAACTCCAATTTGAAAGACACCCAGTCGGAGTTTTGCTACTCCGAGGCCTCTGAAATGGGAAGACACAGTTCCGAAGAGATCAAAAGCCTAAAAGATGAAGAATTAGACCCTTTCGAACTGCGGAAGAAAGCTCTGAGCTCTGTTTCTGTCGTGATCGAGGATTTTGCCCATCAAAGACCCGGATGGCCTCTTCTCCGAGCAAACACCGTGTTAACGCCGTCGGCAATGGAGGCTAGAAAAATGTCGGTGGTGAAGTGGGTGATGAACTTGCCGAACAGGTCGACGCCGGGGACTCCAAGAACGCCGTCGTCGAATAGTGAAATTAGCCCTAAAAGCATGGCGTCGGATTCTAGGTCGGAATCTAGTTTGTTCACAAACACGAGCAATGAGAGTGGAACTCCGATCGATAAAAGCCATGAGTTGCCGGAAATTTTGAATCTTTTACTCAAAACTAATCCGTCTCGATGCCAATGGTTTGGATTTGATCTACTTAGAGCCTCAACATCTAACTTTGCGTCAGGTAATTTTACTGAGTTTCGTGATTTTGAGTGTAGATTTTTAAGAGAATTAGCAAAACTGATTGAAAATCGTCTTTTTAATTACAGAGAATTTGATCGGGAAAGGTGGTTGTCATCGTGTATATAAAGGGATGTTTCCTGATGGAAAAATGGTGGCTGTGAAGATCAGAAGATCATCAAGAGAAGCATGGAAAGATTATATTCTGGAAATCGACATTATGACTTCGCTAAATCATGAAAACATCACACCTCTTTTAGGGGTATGCGTGGAAGAAGATAACTTGATTTCTGTTTATGATCTCGTGCCTAGAGGAAATTTAGAGGACAATATACATGGTAAGTTTCTTTCAAAAAAGATTTTTTTTTTTTTTTTTTTAATTTTTTTAATTTACTACAATTTTCTTTTAGGGGTGAAAAAAGGTACATACTATTATTTGTACTTTGTACTTTAAACCATTGATTTATGGTTTTACCTATAGAACTATTCTTATTTATTGATTCGTCCATTAAAATATTATTTTTGTCATTTTAGCTAACTAAACTATTATTATAATTATAATATATTAATGAACAACTACTAGTCTTTTGGCTAAATCGATAGTTGCAAATTTTGTATACTTTACCCGTTTTCAAAACTGGATAACCAAGAAAAGTATTGTTTTTCAAACCGTAAAAAAACATGACGATTTAATTTAATTTTTTTTTTTTTAATTTGATGATTTAATTACAATAGAAAATAGCTAGAGGCTATATTGATAATAAATTGTGAAAATTCGTTGTGCTTTTTATTTTTGTACCATGCCATTAATTATTCGTTAGTGATTTTTTTAGCGTACCATGCCCTTAATTAGTTTATGATTTTCCACGACCATATTAACTACAACAATTTCATTAAAGTTGCTGAAGCTTTAAAAAAAGTAACAATTTTGCTCTTTCTTTTCTGTATCTAGGTGCCACGAAGGACAAATCGATTTTATCATGGGAAATAAGATTGAATATAGCCATTAAAGTTGCTGAAGCTTTAAACTATTTGCATAAAGAATGTCCTCGGCCTGTCATTCATCGTGACATCAAGTCTTCCAACATTCTTCTCTCAGAGGAATTCGAGCCTCAGGTTTGTACCATACCATCTATCCAGTACAGGTGCACAAATGGGCCGGGCCAGGTTAGGCCCAGCCCAGTATGCATCTGTATCTAGTAACTTTTTCAGGAATCTAACCGTGATTCGGTTTGTTGAATCTTGTTTGCAGTTATCGGATTTTGGGCTTGCGATATGGGGACCCACAAGTTTACCATTCCTAAGTCATAGTGATGTGGTTGGAACATTTGGATATCTTGCTCCCGAGTACTTTATGTATGGGAAAGTTAGTGAAAAAATTGATGTTTACTCTTTCGGTGTTGTTCTCTTGGAGCTTTTGACCAGAAAAAGACCGATCAATTCAGATCCCGTTAAAGGCGAAGATAGTTTGGTCATGTGGGTAAGAATCTTTCTTGAAACCTTGTAAATAGGCTATTTGTCGATAAGGGTATTTACGTCTTTTGCACATACAAGAGACTGTAAGTGAGTCCCTCTCCCACCTTTTTTCAAAAACGTTGGAATTTTTGTTCCAATGCATGCCAAAACCAGTATAACTTGTCGAGGGTAACAAACAGAGTCCTAGGCTTGTTTTTTGGGGTTTTTCTAATTATGTTATTTGTATAATGTAGGCAAAACCGAAGCTAGAAAAGGGAGATTTAGCAAGCATATTAGATGTCGATTTGGACAAAGAAGTCAACAAAAATCAAATAGTTCGAATGGCTCTAGCTGCAACACTTTGTCTCACAAGATCAGCTAGAAGGCGTCCCACAATGAACGAGGTTTGAGAAAACATCTCTATTCATGCTTATAATATCCACTACCTTTCATTTGTTACACCATACACGACTTGACAAGCTTTCTAGAGCTATTTTTAATAATGATAATAAATAGGGCATTCGCGTCTTTCGCACAGACAAGTCATCTCTACCTTATCTTTTTAGAAAGAAAAGTCATAAACTCTATTTTTTTAAGGAAATTTTAGGACATTTTCTGTTTTGTTTGTCTTTAGGTCTTAAACATTTTAAGAGGGGAGCATGATTTGGACAAGAAGTCAAATCAAAATGATTTGGAATTGTTGTGTACTAATGAAGATCATGACGATGATGATGATGATGATGAAGTTTATCCGGAATCAAATGCGGAGTCTCATTTGAGTCTTGCGTTTCTTGATGTTGATGATAAGTCAACATCATTTGGTAGTGTGGATGTAAATCAACACACGCGGCATACATTAGAAGGATACTTGAGGGGAAGGTGGAGCCCGTCTTCGAGCATGGATTAGGTTTGTTTTTGTGTGGTGTGGGGAAAATTCTTCGGGTTTTTTTGTGAAGAATGTAGATAGTTTTGTATAGCTTAAGAATGTATACGAAGGGGAAAAAAGAATGTGCACCCGATGATGAGGTGTTGTGTGTTTTAACGAATCGAGATGTAAACGTGAGAGATTTTCTAGTGAATTGAGATTTGTGGTTTTCATTCAAATTTGTCTCGATAGTGTGTTTTAACTTTTGTTACACAAGACAAAAGTCGCACAATATATATTACGCTTAGCATGCATTATATCAGCACCACAAACAACAAAAATTGTAATTATATCTTCAAATGAGGTGGAAGATGACTGTCTTCCTTATTTGATAATTATAAATAGATCTAGAAACTAAAAAGTCTAGTGTGTTGAGTTTAATAGGTAGCTGTTTTGAGTTTAATTGCTTATGCGAGTTTAAAGGGAGTTTTTTAGATCTCTTAGGAGCTTTTAGTCTTAAGGTAGGGTTTGGTACATAAAACGAAATAGAAGAGAACACATGTTTTTTTGGATAGTATCTCGCAATAATAGGACAGAAACAAAAATAGTTATTGACCAAGTCAAATGGGACTATTTGACTTCTATATATATATATATATATATATATATATATATATATATATATATATATATATATATATATATATATATATATATATATATATTAGGTGTGAGACTCATATATTACATGGGTTTAATTAAAATAAATAAATATAAAATTTTAACAATTTGAATTTATAAGAAAAATAAAAAAAAAATTGAATTATTAAACTTGAAACTTTAATGTATTAAATACATTACATATATAAACTATTTCTAATAAATACCTTATATATATTACCTTACACATTAAATGTGGAATTTTAATACAATAAAATGAAAAGTGGAAAATAAAAAATTTAAAAATTTAAGAAATTGCCATGTGTCCAAATAAAGGAGAAAGGACATGTGGTAAAAAACCTTCATTTATTATTATTATTATTATTATTATTATTATTATTATTATATATAAAGGACAATTCAATCATTTTAATGTCATGTTCTCTCCCATCCTGGTGTCACCAAACGCTTAACACTTAATTTGACCGGTGTTGTCCAATCCAGTTCAACTCAATCCAATTCAGTCCAGTACTGTTCAGTCCAGTCCAATGCATCAAACACCTAATAAGATTCAAAAAAATAAATAAATAAATTTGCATTAGAGTTGCTTAGTTTTTCTTAAACGAAAAACTCTAAATTCAAAAGTGACACTCCTAAGTAGGATCATAGAAGTGCCGATGGTCAAGTTTTATAGTTTTTGATTGAATGTTTATGTTCATTTATATTTTATATGTACGTTCATTTATGTTTTATATACGTTCATTTATGATCATTCTTTTGTTTTGCACCTTAACAAACACGATCAAGAAAACTTGCACTTTTATCTCTTTGTGTTTACTTTTTTTTTTTAAGTTAATTAAACTAACAAACATAAACAAATCATTTTTTGTTCGAGTATAACTTGTATGGTATTTATAAAAATATAATAAGTAAACTCTTCGCGAGGCATTCTATAAAAATTGATGTTTACTCTTTCGACGTCATTCTCTCGGAACTTTTGAGCAGAAAAAGTCCATTGACTTCAGGCCCAATAAAGTCAAAGATAGTTTGGTCATGTGGGTAAGAATCTATATCTTAAACAATTTTCTTGAAACCTTTTTAAAATCACCTTGTTTAGGGCAATAACGTCTTTTACAAATATAAGAGATTGTGAACGAGTCCCTCTCCATTCCAAATGGGGCGTTATGATCATTGCTTTTTTAGTTTTCCTAATTATGTTATAAAATAAAACTCACCCTTTTTGTGTAGTTGCTTCAACTCAATTCACTAACAAAACAACACAATTCTACGCATACATAAATAACACTATGACACATTCATGTTTGTTGAAATCCACTACTATTAATTTTCATTTTCAAGCAAATAAATAGTAACAAAAACTTAAATTTAAATGCCATCATCTTCATGATAAATACTTTCAGCCATTTGCCAAACCTGCAACGCATTGTCTTCAGCCACACTAGAAATCACCCATGCCTCATTTTTGTTCCATGAAAAGTCTGATATTTTTGCCTTGTGTCCACCATGTGAGAACAAAAGCTCTGGTGGGCCATCTTCAGTTTCACCTTCCAGCTGTTCATCTCCAATCCTGAAATCACCCAAATTCAAAATATCTGTTTAGAAGAAATGGAAGGAGAAGGGCATTCATGTCTTTTGACATGAGTATCAGTTTAAGTACCTGTTTAGGTCCCACACCATCAGCCTTCTGTCATCAGCAGAGGATGCAATCACAGTTTCATGGTTTGGGTCCCACTCAACTTGGAACACCTCTTCCCTGTATATTAATTTTTTTATGAAAATATATAAAGAAAACATAAAAAAAGAAAAATAAAATTAAGATGCTTACGTATGACTACTCAAAACATGAAGTGGTGATGTTAGTTTCCTCATGTCAAAAAGCCCAACTGTTGTGTCTGAAGATGCTGTAGCCAAAACCCACTCATTGAATGGATTAAAAGATAAATAATTCACCTGGGAATTATTATAAATTTCATTAGAAACTTAAAAATAAAAGCTATTAATATAAAAAGTTACACCTCTTTCTCATGAACTACAACAGATTGTTCATGTTTATTTGTGCGTAAATCCCAAATCATTAGCTTGCAATCATCCCCAACAGATCCAAATAAGCTTTCATTCTTCAAATGCCATGATACATCTTCAACTAAACTCCCATGATCCTAAATTAACATTTATCATTTAATTTCAACTGCAATAACTATCAACACTCACTGATAAACAATGAATGATAAAAATTTAAGTAATGAAGGATGCAAAAAGTACCTCGTAAATGTATTTGGCATCAAGAACTTTATTTGAAGGCATTGCAGACACATCCCATAAGCAGATTTTACAATCGTTGGAGCCACTCAAGAGATACCCTTCTTTAAAAGGGCTCCATGAAAGCCCATAACCTTCTTTTTCATGACCCCTTAACTTTGCATCAGGTTCACAAGAGCCTCCTTCATCGTTTAAAAGTTGTTTTGTGGAATCGAATACATAGACTTCTGAAGAACTTGTCTTTGCTGCAATAATTGATGGGTTTTGTGGCATACATCGTGCCCGATTTACCTCTCCATCAACATGAATCTTTTGAATTATCTCTACCTATAAGGATTTGAGAAAAAAAAAATTAGGCTAAAGGCAAGAATCAGCAATGTAGTTTTGTTGATTTGTTTATTATAATGATGTCATATTAAACAAATGAATGCATAGTAAGTTGATGTTTCTTGCGTTTAGCCCTAAAATGTAATCAATGGATGAAAGTGCTCTAACAAAATTGACACATCCTTCGGATCCAAATTTCATTTGCAGGATTTTTATTATTTTGTATTGTAGTTTCTTATATTAGAGTGGTTTACATTTTTTTGAGGTACCACCCTGCATCATATCAACTACAAATCTACGGATCCTCAAAACGTTTGTAAGATTAGTACTTTTCTTAAATTGAAGTGTGGGATTCCAACAATTTACTTGTCCAGACAATTCAAAAATATAAATTTCGGTGTGGAACATAGATTATTGTACTGATTCGAGTAAAGAAATAGCATAAGAACTAGCGACCGACTGACCTTAGGGATATGAGGGTTTTCGTGATTGGTGTCGAGGGAAGATGAAGGATTAACCGGCAAGAGGACATCTGCGACGAGAAGGAAGTTAGGACTTTCATCGGAGGTATGCGTCCCGAGAATCAGCTTGTGAGTGGCGAAAGAGCCGTCTTTGTACGGAGACGGTGGCGAAGGAAGCCACTGAACGGTTAGTGACGGCCACTCAAGGGAGTGAGAGACGATGAGATCGTATAAGAATGGAGAGTTCTTCTTCCATACACTGAACTCCTCCTCCACTTGGTGGTCTTCGCCGGCGCCGGCGCCGGCTCCGTCGTCTTCCTCCGACCTCATTCCTCTCTTTCTCTCTGACTATCTAGATTATTTTCCCGCGTAGGTTTGGAAGTAGAAATGAGGAGGCGGCAAACTAGAAGTGTTATATGCAAGCTGGAATAGGCTTCAGGCCCATTAAGTACTCATTGTGGGCTGGATCGATCCATATCTATTTTTATAAAAAGTAAATTACTGCATAGGTGCTTGTGTGGAGATTAATATATTTAATTTCTAACTTATTTTTTTAACTTCCATAATTTTTTGAATTTGAATTTGTTATGTATTTAGTCCCTACTATACATAAAAAACAATATTGCCATTATAATATTATGACAAAATTGCAAAAATGGTCCCTATGGTATGCATTTTTTTTGGGTTTTAGTCCAAATCATGACTTTTTTGGTTTTGTGATCCTTTTGGGTTACTTTCATTGTAGGATTGGTCCCCGATAAAGTTGAAAAGACTACTTTGCTCTTTTAATTTGTTTTTTCTATTTACTTAAATATTCTTTTTCTTTTATTTAATTATAAATGTTAAACAAATCAAGAATGGAACCCACCTGCTCTCTCTCTCTCTCTCTCTCTCTCTCTCTCTCTCTCTCTCTCTCTCATTTCTTACGGTTCTTTATTTCTTTCTTCTTGATTTCCGGCAAGACCACCCACCGGAAATGGTGTTTACCGGCCACCAAGGAAGACAAACAGCTCCCATCATCCTCTTCCCTTTTTCTATCAACAATCACCACCCAAACCCCCCTCATCTTCTGTTGCCAATTACTGATTCCCCTCTCCCTCTTTTTTTCTTCGACTCACCAGAACAATAAAACAAAAGAAGGAGGTTATTGCCTCCGTTCCAGCCACATGCGATGGTAGATATGTTAAGTGGGAAAGGAACCCGTTTTTACGGTGATCCTATTGGCTTAACTTCGTCGCCGACAACCATAGATCGAGGTGAAGGTAAGCAGCAAAGAGTAGCACCGAAAAATGGCAGACGGGGTTGTGTACGTCGATGAGGGGCAGTAGTCGGTGTCTCCGACGAGCAAAGGGGGCAAGGATCTTCAGGGGCGTTTCGTTGTGGAGTTGATGAGCAAATGGTAGAGGGGGATAGCTACTCTCCGGCGGGCCCTCGTGTGTTCCTTTCTTGTCGTCAATAGTAACGAAAATGAAGGAACAAAGTAGCGGTAGCAGAGCCGAATTGGGGACGGAGGCTGCTTTGGCGGCTTCCCTTGGCTTCTTTCATCCTGTCACCGACAGTTAAACACGAAGGGGCATGGGTGTTTGGGTGATGCTTTTCGAAAATTGCATAGGTGTTTGGCAGTTGGGATTGAAGAAGGAGAAAGGAAGGGTCTGTTGCCCATGGTGGTGGTCGGAAAACGCATCACCTCCGGTGGAGTTTCTTCGCAGCGAAACAAAGAGAGAAAGAGAGAGAGAGAGAGAGAGAGAGAGGGAAAGAGGTGTGGGTCCCATTCTTAATTTGTTTAACATTTATAATTAAATAAAAGAAAAATAATATTTAAGTAAATAGAAAAAACAATTTAAAAGGGCAAAGTAGTCTTTTCAATTTTATTGGGGACCAATTCTACAATGAAAGTAGCCTAAAAGGACCACAGAACCAAAAAAGTCATGGTTTGGACTAAAACCCCAAAAAAATGTATACTACAGAGACAATTTTTGCAATTTTGTCTAATATTATTTTAACATAATTTATTATTTTAAAAAATATATATTTTTTTATAAAATAATGCATATGGGTCCCACCACCCAAAATGCACTTGCTTCCCTACTCTTGCACCCTTCCATCTTCACCTGTTATCACCTCCGAGTGCCTCCTTCACCCACCTCACCATCGAATCTCATCCATCCCTTATCTTCACTGACAATCTGCATCTTTTTCCTCTCCCTCCCCACCTCTTACTTCATCAGTGGTAGAACCCTAAAATTACACTTTCTGATCTAAGTACCATTGAAATCTTACGACTCACGACAATCGTCACATGTTCCGCCTTCAACACTGACATCACCCCCTATGACTGCGACGACGACCCGATCAACCCGACCACCACATGTCCCATCGTCTCTACCATTACTCTCTATCATCAAGAAATTATCATATCTGGTCTTGGTCATCAAGCAATTGACTTCACATCAAGCAATCAACGGCGACCTCCATCGTATGTAGGCCTTGTCAATCTAATTGTTGCTAGTCTCAGTTAAGATTATTTCAGTTTCTATTCATACACCCTATGTATTTTGCATTTTCAAGTATCAAAGCATATGTGTAAACTTCTATCTAATTTCACATATTGTTGTATAAATCCTTGACAGTTAGAATTTAATTTCTATTTTGTTAGCTTGGTTTAAGTGTATCTACATAAATCAGATTTTAAGTTTCAAGTTTTGATTAATGTATGATCTTTGTTTTAATTTCGACTTTAGAATTGATAATTGGTATTTGTTTCAATGTTTGAATTTGATATCTTATCTCAAGTTATAGTTATAAATACGATATCTGATTTCAAGGCTTAACGATAAATCTAATTTTAGATCTAATTTCAACTCCGACCATTGGGTGGATGGTAGTGGTACAGGAAAGACGAACAATGGTGTTCTAGTTGGGAGGGGGAGTCGTATGAAACAAAAATAAAAGAAAGAATTGAGGAAAGGGGGAAGAAAAGGTGTGAGGTCTACGTAGGATAGTTAGAATAGGACGTGTTTATTTAAATAATAATATAAATTTTAAATATGCAATAAATAAATTAAGAAAAAAGTAATTATATTGGGTAAAATAGTATTTTTATTTTATGTCCGTCACAGATCGGAGACGTAATAAAAATATATAGTACGGACTATCCAAGCTAAAAAAAATTAATAAGTAAGGAATCAAACGTGCAAATTATCCAAACCATAGCGACCATTCATGTAATTTACTCTTTTATAAATAGGCATAACATAATCATAAAAATAAACTTTTAAATGTTTATTTTTTTTACTATCTAATTTTTAGATATTTTCAAATATATTTCGTAAGATATATTTTAGACCAAGTCACTTTTATTTTGAATTAATTTTATTTCATAACAAAAAAAAATACAAAATGTAGATTTTGAATTTTGGATTTCGGATTTTAGAATAGATTGTGCAGACATTAAAAGAACGTAAGTTGAAATTTCAAAAATATGTTTGAAATACGGATAAACAAATCCTAAATTTTGAGAAAAATACTTTAGTGTTTATTAAAATCTTACAAAATGATAGCATCTATTAAATCTTAGTAAATATGTTTTAAATATAGAAACTCTTTTATATAGATATATCCATTAGGCTATAAAGAGTATTGTCATTTTTCGTACATCTTTTTGCCATCACTTAGATGCTATATCTTTTTTACCGCCACGTATACGTCACATTATCTTTATCGCACTATGTAGAACTTTTATCATTTTGGAGGGTGGTTTGTAGAGTTTGAGAATTAAAAAAATCACAAAAAATAACAATTGATTAGTTGGTAGGCACGGTTAACTGATAATTAAACTCGGTAGATATATGTCAAGTAGGAGTACCGAGTAGCCTCTAACGAGGTTGTGGCATGGCGTGTTGAAGCCATGTCCGATATACCGAGCACATTTCTAAGCCACACCCTGTAGCCTTATTGATAACATCTATTTCTTCTAAAATTTGAAGATAATTAGTCATTTTTAGCGATATATATATATATATATATATATATATATATATATATATATATATATATATATATATGTATGTATGTATGTATGTATGTATGTATGTATGTGTGTGTGCGTACGTGTGTGTGTCATGTAATTTTATTCGCACACAATTTTTACATGACTCCCGACGCGGGGAATAGAAAAATGAGGCCCTTTTTCGATCTTCAAAGCGGATGGAATACATAAAAACAATTTAAAACAACCAGCAAATAATCTTAATTTTTATAGTATAATCTTAAACATTGTATAAAAATGATTATATTTATTCCACCTTCATTTGTATATGGTTTACATAAAAAATTATAATATATGACACCCAAAATCATAATATATGACACCCAAAATCGCAATATTTTGGTTTTTAGACTAATGTAATTAGCACCGAACCAACAATATGAAAAATTGCAAAGTGAAAGTGGGCATAATTAATCCTTGTTTACTAAATTGTGGGTTTAGTAGATCAAAACTGACCCCTTCTCCTATCTCCTTTTTTGCTTTTTCTTTTTCAATTTACCTACAACAAAAATAAGAAAAAAATAAAACTCATAGATCAAAAAAAATTACAAAACAACAAATGTAAAAAGGGATGATGCACTTAAGATTGGGGGAGTGGGCTGAGGCAGCAGCTACAATTGGGTGCCACATGGGATGAAACACCGCCCTTGGGTGCGGTACAGGTGCGACAGAGAGTGATGATATTCACTTGCAACAAGTATTGGAGTTCTATTTGAACCTCCAACACTGCTAGATACATTTAAAGAGTAAGTTTGTGTCATATTTCCTTAGATTTTGAAAAGAGATGAGCTAAGTGGTATAGAAGGCCTTTTAAATCAGACTTTTTTCTTTTGAAAGCGATTTATGCTTTTAAAGAAGATTAAAAAGCAAGCATTATGACTCTGATACCAATTGTTGAGAGAAAAACTTAAGCTGATATATTGATTTGTGGAAATGTAAGTTAATATCAATGGATCTTTTGATAAGCTCATCAATAAAGAAATATGTGGAATGATATGGAAGTATACAACAACAGGATTAATCAGTAAACATAAACAAGTAATAACATTTAGTTGAATCGTAACAAGGTTTGCATTCAAACACGAGTTGGTAAATAATGAGCAACATAAGCAGGAGATAATCAAGATAACGAAGACTTGTATTCAATAAGGATTATACAATAAAAGTCTGAGAAGTGGTGAATATATCGATCAACGTGATCATTTATTTATAATAAAACTGGGTACATGATAAATAATAGAATACTCCTAAGTCAGGTGGCCATGCTTGTCACGTCTGTTCTGACAAAGCTCATCTAACACACAGTATCAGAAAAGGTGAACATTTTTTTTTGACATTTCAGCATACAAA